CATATAATTTATGCTCATTGGAACCATTCACTTTACTGACTAGTTCAATTGAACTTCTCTATTTTCTGATTTGTCAAATTATTTAGTTTAGTTCCAAAATTCTCTAGTTCATATCATGATATACACTTGATCAAAAGAGCGTAATTTATGCTCATTGGAACCATTCATTTTACTGACTAGTTCAATTGAACTTGTCCATATTTAAGCCAATTTGAATACCTATTTTTATAGTAAAAGCTATACATTGCGCCGAATCATGTATATATATTATATAGCTGCCGATTCTATCTATATGCTATATATACCTGATTTATGAAATCTTTTTTGTCGTAATCGTTTTAAATATAAAACTTGTTTGTAAAGTTTCGAAATATTTGAAAAGAAAGAATTCTTTGGAGCTTTGCTCGGCCCTCTTAGCAATCACGTTGTTTTACCTGCCCTGCCCTGCCTAGCAGCTACCTGGCGACTGGCAAGCCCAAGACGTTCGCTCAGCTTGATGCCGTTAGGAAAACTTTCGCCTTGCTGTTGTTCTACCAATACAAGCTCATATTTGCCTAATAGTTTGCCAGTTTCTCTTTTTTGCCTCCTGACACACACACACACACACACACACACACACACACACACACACACACACACACACACACACACATGCTGCTTGTTGTTATTGCTGCTGCTCTTTTTTTTCAGTTAAGTTCGACTTCATATTCTGTCGCTAAGAAAGCATGCAAAACTTAACTAGACAAATAGTTGCTGTGTGTGTGTGTGTGTGTGCGTGTGTGTGCGTGGGTGTGCGCTGCCTTTTCTGCTAGATATTCAACAGCAGCGACGCGTCGTCTTTCGCATTATTTTATGGCCCCAAGCAAATTATATTCCCTTAGTCTCGGCCAAAGAGTTAGCCAAAAACTTTTGTGTGAACTTCTCTCTCTCTCTCTCTCTCTCTCTCTCTCTCTCTCTGTCTCTATGTGCGTGTGTGTTGGTGTTTGCATAATTTCCCAAAATAAAAAAGAAAACATTTTAAAGTTATGCCACCCCTCGCCCCTTACCCCTGCATCTACCCCTTTTGCTTTCAGTTAGCTCGCTGCCATTTGCATTGTTTTGCGGCCCTGCGGCATTAAGCGGCAAAGTTTTTGGCCAGAAAAGTTTTCTGTTGCTGTTAAAGTTGCATTTGAAATTTGCATTAAATTAAGCCAAGCCAGTAGCTCCCTAACTCTCCGCCTCCCCCCTCCCCCTTCCCCCCTTGTTTTTTGAAGGCAATTTGAACTTTTCGCTTAAGTCGCCGCTAGAAGTGGCAATTAAATCCTGATCAAATTAATGGCAGTGGCAGTGGCAGTGGCAGTGGCAATGTCGTCATGCGGCGCATGCCGCTAACTTTGCACATCTGCAGCCGCAGCCACAGCCACTGCCGCAGTTGCGTCGACTTTGCCAGGTCAAGTACATAATCGGGCCAGAAGCCAAAAAACAGAAACAACAAGAAAAACGACTAAACTCGTCGCTGGCCTGCCGCCGCTCCCCAGAGAGAGTGTGGCAGGAGGCGGAAGGATGCAACTGCTATGTGCGGCATTTTGGGGCATGTGTGACATATGACGAGACGCGCCGCAGTGGTCCTGCACGTTTTCACGTCTCGTTGCGGAAATGATGTTTAACACACACACACACATACACACACACACAGACGCACGCACTGCCATCAACATATACGCATTAAGCGAAGCACGTTCCGTGCGACGTTTGCACATTTCAAGGATATAACTTAATTCGTAATGAAGACGCACAAAACTGAAACTACAGCTGCATACACAAGCGGGCGCTACGTGTGCCAAGCGAATTCCACTTCAGTTTGGCTAACAGCGTGCAAAAATATTCAATCAATCAGTCAAAGCCATCAAGCAATTTCCGTTCAAATTAGTCAAGCTGATTATTTACTGCTGCTGCTGCTGCTGCTGCTGCTGCTGCTCACACATCATTCACTGTGCCCAAGTTTGGCTTAATTAACGGCAGTTAATATGTCTAGGCGAACAAGCGCATTGGATAAATAAACATAAAGCACATGACGCCAACGCAGCTCCAGTCAAGCCTCTAATTAGATGCGACTCATTAAGCATGTTAGCCAAACTGAACTGCACTTGGGAGGGCTGTTCGAGCAGTAAAGCAAAATATAATCAAGTTTTTTTCTTGTGACTCGATAATGACCAGAGCTGGGCTGATGGCGTCTTGATTTTGGCCAAATATTTCGAAAACTTAGCAACAGAAACCCAAAACTTTTTGAACAGACCTCGTAGAATATAGTAATAATATATATATATACATATATATATATAAAGCTACAAATATATCTCTAATATAAACGCTCTTTCTTTGTAGCAAATTGGAATTTGTTTTTTGTACATTTCTAGTTGGAATCCATTGGAAATACTTGAATTTAGTTAAAGCAAATTCCAATTGAAACTCAAAGTGTGAAATTCTAATAAGAATTTTGTAGTATTGTGTGTGCCTTGCGCCTTTTGCTGCCTTTGTGTATATGTATATGTGTGTGTGTGTGTGTGTGTGTGTGTGTGTGTGTGTGTGTGTGTGTGTGTGTGTGTGTGTGTGAGTTGTGTGCGCCATTTGCATTTTCATAGACGTGAATTTATTTGGGCTTTAAGGCGCAAGCCAACGGGTTGCTTGTGCAAAGGTGTGCGACATCATCTGGCGGCAGCTTGTGAGTGGCGGTCGCAGGACAACTCGCTGACAATGGGGCTTGCGGGCCTTGAACCTCCACGTGGCCCCTAACCGGCGAGGTGAGCTGTGCGAACGTCGTGTCCGAGTTTAATTAATTACCGGAAAACTGTTAATATTTGCATTGCCTTCAAAAAGCTCCGCAACCGAGCGACCAAAGCGAGATCCGCAACGGGCAACACACAAAGAGCCCAGCGACGGGGCCCACAAAGGCGAGGGGAGGCAGCGCCGCCACTGGGCCCGGGGCCACGCTGAATCGCTGTAGCCCAGCAGGCGTGCACGATGGCTTTTTTTTTTTTGTTTAATGTTAATATTTATACCCTGCAGTCAGGCGAACAGCAGCAAAATGAAAATTTGCTTTTATAACTATTTCTCACAACTTGCAGTCGGACCATGTTCGCTGGCAGCTACAGGGTGTCTGCTAGCCGCGCACTTCTTTGGCTTCATAAATTCTCCAATTTTATTTTCAGGCTTGTCTGTGTGTTTTTTCGCTCGTAATTTAATTTCTCAAAAAATGCGCTCGAAAGTATGCAATGCCAAATTATGCTGCGCTGCGCTGCGCTGCTGGCCCTGGCGGGTTAGCGGCAGGTAAGGGGCAGGGCGTGTGCTTAGATGGGCTGGCTGCAGGTGGCCTGTGGCCGGGGGCGCCAACGACTGTCGAGTGGCTTGGATGCACGGGCGGGCGGTCTGCCAGAAGGCAAAGCAAGCGCTGCTTTTAGCCTGCAAATGAACAGCAGCCGAAAACAAAATTTCGCGTTGTCCATTTTGTTAACAGTTTTCACAGTTACACGTGTTTGGCCTGCGTGTGTGTCTGTGTGGTATTCTTTTGTGTATCCAATTCCAATTGGACTGGGTAGCTGCACACTCTGAAAGGGAAGTCAGCGAACGAAAAACAAGTTAATGCAGCTCGCTTAAAGTGCAGTTCCACTATTAAAGCCAAGCCTTTCGCATTGCCATGCATTCGCGCAGGCCAATTCATATCAGCTAACTACCAGAGGCTGGCTACGAGCAACTTATAGTTACTATGAATATGAATCGTTGGTAGTAATCAGAACTTATGGGGCAATAACTAAGCACGGGTCTAGCCCCTACGCATCGTCGCTGTTTCAATTTGCGAATTGCTTTTTATACCCAGCGCAAATGGGAAATGAGGGTATGTTGGCTTCGTGAAACTGTAACAGGCAGAAGTAGGCGTGGCAGCGCTCATTAGGTATATGAGCTGAGATGATCGGACATGGCTAGATCAGTCCGTCCGTCCGTCTAAGTGCCTGTCCGTGCAGCGATCTCGTGAACCACAAAAGCTAGCGACTTGAAATTTGATAGATATATGCAAAGCGAGCTTATCACTTTATTTCGATAACTCATCTCACTTAACGATAAATATCGATCTTTTAACTTTATTTGTTTTAAGCGTAGCTTGAATCGCGTCTTAAGAGTTATCGCGTAGGTTTCATTCATTAGAGAAAGATTTTGTATAAATGGGATTTTTTATTTTGAATGTGAATACCTTTGCCTTTCCCCAAGTTTGCAAACATTGCATTTGAAATGCTAGGCACTTATGCTTGAGCACAACAATAGGAATGTGAACATTACGCCCGAAAAATTTGCCTTGGAACTATTGAGCTGATTAGAATTCCGCCGGGTTCCCATGCTACAGGGTATCTACTAGTCGAGCAATTTTACTTGTTTTATATGGAAATTTAATTTAGAATGCATATAACAACCAGCAGGAGGCGTGGCAGTACGCATAAAATACAGAACAAACAGCCGAGTCGATCTAGCTCTGTTTTTCCTTCAATCTGTCCGACTGTCCGACTGTCCATAGGTCTCAGCGCGGCGATCTCAGCTGTATACTTGACACTTTTTCATGGGTAACCCAATATGATATATATATATATAGATATATTGTTTTATATAGTCTATAAATGTTCCCATTTCATTGCAATCGATTGAAAACGTGGTCAGTCCTTAGTCCTTGAAGCGAGTGCCTTGAAATTTTGCATTTAGTTTCATGAGAATTTTTGACAATTTTCCTTTATATTTTCACAAAGTGCCTTAAATGTTGATATCCGTGCTGCATATTCCATCATCATTCCATCAGGTGCAGCACAGTCAGAGCTTGGTGTAGCTCCTAGTCGAGCACTAGCGCCTCGACCTGTGCCACTTGAATTCGCGTCGCATTAGCATTTTGCCAGCTGAAGTTGCCAAAACTGAGAGATGATGAACCAGATCAGATTGTGCCAGAACTGAACTTATCATTGTGTCCTTTGTGCTAATTGCAGATGATGGAGCACGCCTGGCACAACTACAAATTGTATGCTTGGGGCAAGAACGAGCTGCGACCATTGTCGCAGCGCCCGCACTCGGGCAGCATATTTGGCTCGTACGATCTGGGCGCCACAATTGTGGATGGCCTGGACACGCTGTATATTATGGGCCTGGAGAAGGAGTACAAGGAGGGACGCGACTGGATTGAGCGCAGGTTCTCGCTGGATAACATCAGCGCCGAGCTGTCCGTCTTCGAGACGAATATACGCTTTGTGGGCGGCATGCTGACGCTGTACGCCTTCACCGGGGATCCCATGTACAAGGAGAAGGCGCAACATGTTGCCGACAAGTTGCTGCCGGCCTTTCAAACGCCCACGGGTATACCGTATGCCCTGGTCAACACCAAGACGGGCATGGCCAAGAACTATGGCTGGGCTTCCGGTGGCAGCTCGATTCTCTCCGAGTTCGGCACGCTCCATCTGGAGTTTGCCTATCTGAGCGACATAACGGGCAACCCCTTGTATCGGGAGCGCGTGCAGACCATACGCCAGGTGCTCAAGGAGATTGAGAAGCCCAAGGGACTCTATCCCAACTTCCTTAACCCCAAAACAGGCAAATGGGGCCAGCGTAAGTAGATCATCGCTTAGTATTGTAACTCCCTGACCCTCTGACCCTCTGACCCTCTGACCCTCTGACCCTTCGACCCCTGCAGAGCACATGTCGCTGGGCGCCTTGGGTGACAGCTACTACGAGTACTTGCTAAAGGCCTGGCTCCAGTCCGGCCAGACGGACGAGGAGGCGCGCGAAATGTACGACGACGCGATGCTGGCGATTATGGACAAAATGGTGCGCATCAGCCCCAATGGACTGACCTATGTGTCCGATCTGAAGTTCGATCGGCTGGAGCATAAAATGGATCATCTGGCCTGCTTCTCGGGTAAGTAATGTGCACTTGGATATGGCATCTTATCTGTACTAATATTAATATTCCAATGCTTCAGGCGGCCTCTTTGCATTGGGCGCAGCTACGCGCCAGAACCAGCACTCGGACAAATACATGGAGGTGGGCAAGGGCATTACCAACACCTGCCACGAGAGCTATATACGTGCACCCACCCAGCTGGGACCCGAGGCGTTCCGGTTAGTCGACATTATGTTTATTCTCTGCCCGCAACGTTGCTAATCCTTCCTCTCTTTGCCTGTAGCTTCAGCGATGCAGCTGAGGCCCGCGCGTTGCGCTCGCAGGAGAAATACTATATACTCCGGCCGGAGACATTTGAAAGTTACTTTGTGCTCTGGCGGCTGACGCACGATCAGAAGTATCGCGACTGGGGCTGGCAGGCGGTGCTGGCCCTGGAGAAGCATTGTCGTACGCCGCACGGCTACTGCGGCCTGCGCAATGTCTACCAGCAGGAGCCGCAGAAGGACGATGTGCAGCAGAGCTTCTTCCTAGCTGAGACGCTCAAGGTGGGCACCACACTAAGTCCAAGCTGAGTCGCACTAACTAATACAAGTCTGTCTGTCCTCTGCTCTCTTTAGTATCTGTACTTGCTGTTCTCAGACGACTCCGTGCTGCCGCTGGACGAGTGGGTCTTCAACACCGAGGCGCATCCGCTGCCCATTAAGGGCGCCAATATTTACTATCGCAAGGCGCCGGTGGCGCTGCCCGCATCGAACGCCTCATAAGGCAGCTAACGCAGTCACTTGACCGTGTCATTTTTTTTTTTTAATTCAATTGACTTTTTTGTTAATTAACATTAATATTATTTAAAGATTTTTTTTATATATTTTATTTGTCTGTTTAGTTTAGTTAGCTTACATATATATACAGATATATATATATCTAGTATATATAGTATATATAAATTTAATGTGTATTACGATTAGGTTTGATTGCACAATGACAACAACAACAACAACAACAGCAGCAATAAAAGTCAGTTAAATACAAATTGATCTTCAGTTAGCCGAGCAGTCAAGGACGACTCTTAACTCTATGTAACATATTTATGCAATTTCATATATATCATTATATATATATATATATGTATGTATATATATACGAGAGCAAACCAGAGCCCCGACGTAGGTATTAACACGGTAGATCGTAGGTACTCCAAGCGCTCGGCACAATTATTCAAATTCAACTCTAACAAAAATGAAAAAAAAAACACATTTGAAAAGCTTAAAAATAATTATAATCTTTATGATATATAGACAAACACATACACACATACATAGACGATTTATATATATATATAAACTCAGGTGTTCGAATTATGATTTCTTTGAAAAAAAAATGTTTAAGCTTTGATTCGATTCTCAATATCTTTCCAACTCCAACTTCAGCTACAAACTTCTCTCTCTCTCTCTCTGTCTCTCTCAATATATATCTATCTAGTACTAGATCTATTGCATCTACTTATTATATTTGTATCACATTAATTAACTTGCATTTTGAATCTCTCAACTCTCAAAACATTCAGTGGCACATTCTGGGATCGACTTTGTTTTGTATATATATTTCCCTAGCGACAAAATGAAGGCGTTACGATGAGATGAAGATTTGCGAATCAAATGTTTGTCAAGTTATTGTTTATAAACTTTAGTCTAAATTTAATACAATAAATAATCTACTGTAATAGCACCTAGCTTACTTTAAACAAATGTAACGCATATTACTTTACATCAGCATCAAGCGAAACGAATCTTAAATATATTATATATAAATATAAAAAATAAATAAAAATTAAAAACATAATATAAATATATAAAAATCTATATATTTATAAATTGCAAATATAAAAAATAAAAAATGTAGGAAATTGTTTAAGCAAAATATTTATACAATTATACAAGAAGCGAAATAATTTAATTTTTATCGATGTAAAGGGTTTTTTTTTATATAATCCTAAGCGTAAGATATGATATTAATATTAAATGAATAATAAACAAAGGCAAAACACAAAAACAAGAAAAATTAAATCGAAAATGTTAAATTTTTGTAATCTTCGGCACTTAGCCAACGTCTCTTCAGCTGTAAGAAGTCATTTTAGAAAAATACGTACATACACACAAACACACACACACACACATAAGTAGATATATGTCTCTATATACATATATATATATATAGATATTTTTTTTATGTTATATCAAACTAAGTGTAAGATCGAACGTGAAAATAATTGTATAATTGCGAGTCTAATAAAATTGTAAATGCATGAATAGCTAAAGAACGAGCGATGTGAACGGCTGTCCCCAGGGACGGGCAGTGCACGAGGATATTATAAATGCTTAAACATAATTGTATTGGACTAACCCATAAGTTTAATAAAAACCTAATGAATAACATCAAAGACATTTCCAAATTTTATTTTATGGGCAGCTGCATGGGGGCTTGGGTTAAAAGATCCAATTCATATCACATCATATAAGAGTCAAGCTGGAGAGTTTTATAGAAAATAATATAGAGGAAATACGTCTACAGATCTTATATAGATACACATATATATAGCTGTGTTCACAAAAATATTAGTGGCTACTAAAGAAGGAAAAACAAATATTTATTTAAGTCCAGCTTCATATATATATGTTTCTACAAATACTCAGTTGTAAATCCATGCATATATGTAATTGATAGACAAAAAAAAAATAACTTATTCAATTAGAATGACTATTTGGACTTTCTGCTCATAGGAAGTGTCTAGTGATGTTGTTAAATATAAGTTAAACTCAGCTTCGACTGACTTTACTTATGTACAGTAAAGTAAACTATATTAAAGCGGAACTATATTATGCGTCTTGTGTCTAAATAGGTACATACTTTTGTAATTAATTGTATTTTACTAGCGGTCAGCACATGACCCGCTGTAATTCCTTTACGGGCATGACTAACTCTTGAGCAACTCTATTAAATTGTATATGTATGTAAGGCGAACAAAGCGCTCTGAGGTTAACAACATTTCAGACCCAGACCCGCAGTTGGCGCGCAACCCGGAACGGGAACGCCAGTTCCAGCTTGCAATGCGAGCGGGCAAAGTCCGCAGACGAGCATAAGACTGCAAACGGCTGGACAAACAAAGCATAACCACAAAACGTATAAGAAGCGCACCCGTCGCCAGTCACCGCCCACCACATAAAAAGAAACGAAACGAAGAGTGCATAAGACTTAAGATTCAAAAGTCATTCCACCCGCAAAGCGCAGACAAAGACAGCCCTGCACTTCAAGGCATCAAAAGTATTTCGTTAACTGTTGCTCCCTCTCTCTTCCGCTCTTTTTTGCGCGCTCTCTTTGTGTTCGTTTTGTTCGCAGTGTTGCTGTAGCCCGTTCGCCTGCTGCTCCTGCTTCTTCTTCGTTGGCTAGACGAGCCCGCCCGACCAGCTGAGTTGCTTTTTGCCGGTCGCCGCAGCAGCGCATATTGATTTTAGTTGTCGTGCCCTAACCGATGCAAACAACTCTGGCTTGAGCATACGCTTTGAGAAACAGGCTTTATTAATTTTAATATATACATATATTATATATATATATATATATATATATATATATATATATATATATATATATATATATATATATATATATTAATATATATATATATATATATATATATATATATATATAATAGATAAGAGTAAAAATTAACTAAAAACAAGTTCAAAAGGTTGACGAGTACTTTGATTAATAATAGAAACAAATTTTTTATAAATACTATTTAATGGTCAAAATGTTTTGCATTTTTGTTATATTTACAGTAATATTTATGAGCATAATAATACTAAATCACTAGCTTACACAGAAATCCCAATTTAATACGCACTCATTGTATTAAATATGAGTAGAGCATTCATCTGTCGACCCGACTTCTTTGTGTTTTTGTTTTGGTCGTTGACGTTCGCGGCTTCGCTTCTAGCGGCCGCACAGTTGATTGCGAGTTGTCGAGCGAGTCGGAGCGTCCGATGCAGCAGTAGCTCTCACAGCACTAGCAGTTGCATCCAGCAAAGTCTTTGGCTGTTGGTTGTTGGTTCCCTCGCCGCATATCTTTGGCACGTCTGTTTTTTTTTAAATATTTTTTTGATTCGCAAGTGCAGTGTTTGTGTGAGCAAAATCGAAATGCCGTTTCCCATTCATCCACCGAAGCAAATGCCTTGTCCGCACTGGCAGCACTTTCCCATCAGTCCGGTGGACAGCAAGCCGGCACCGTTTGGCAGCAGCAGCAGCAGCTGCAATGGCGGCGGCGGCGGCGGCGTCGTCAGCAGCTTCAAGAGCGAATCGTCCATGTCAGTTGATAAGCCACCAGAGCCGGTGTCCTATCGCTACTGTGTGCAGTGCAAGGCAGCTGGCAAGGATGTGGGCGGCATCAGTCAGGATTGAGTGCCATTTGCCATTTGCCATTGCACATCTTCTTCATACATTGGCAATGTCACGGACAGCAGCAGCACCAGCACCACCCACCCAACCACTCATTCAGCACTCACAAGACACACATCAAACCAAACAAAACCAAATCAAATCAAATCACATCCACCTCAACTACTCCACTTCATAGCACAATCTCGAGTGGGCCAGCGTTGAGTGCTAAACTTATAATAATTATGATTCCAAGGAACAATTCGTTATTTTTCGCTTGTTTTGTTTTCTTTTTCTTATAAGATTTTTACATTGTGTTTGCCTTCTGCTCGTCAAAACTTTTGCATTTTATTTTACGTGCCAATTATAGGAACACTATACAATCTATATATATATGTATATACATATATATATATACATATATATATATACCTATCTATATTTTTGAAACATTCAAAATGCTTAAGCTAAGATTTTGCTACAAAACTTATTTTTTAGACTTCAGACGATATTTGGTATAAAAAATAAAAAATTAAAAAAAAAACTAAAAACCAAAACAAAATAAACGCACGACGCATATAAAAAACGAGTTTGTTTTACAGACACACACACATGCATAGACATGTGTGCGTGTGCATGTATGAGTGGTGTGAGCATGCCTACGTGCGTGTACGTGTGCCTGTGTTTGTTTTCTTGAGCGGCACACATTTTTTCGGACTTGTTTGTTTGCCTGCTGCTACTCTTGTTGTTATTGTTGTTATTGCTGCTGTCGGATCGTGCGTTGCTTTTTCTTTTTTTTTTTATCAGTTTTCAAGGTCGGCAGACAGAACACAGCAGCGCACAACATTGAAAACATTAAACATTTAAGGCAGGCTCGCGATAAGCCGTCAAGCCGCACCGAACAGAACGGAAGAGAATGGAACAGTCTAGCAGAGCCGCGCTTAATCCAGCAATTTCCATACATTTCGACCAAAGTCGTTCGTTAGTTCCACTTTGTTCTTCTTGTTCCCGTTCTCGTTTTGTGGGTTGGCCGGTCGGTCGGCTGCAATGGGTTAATTGGCTCGCCTTGCGCTTGCCACACGCAACTGCAGAATGCAAGAGAATTCTCAGATGGTTGACAAAGTTCAACAAACTGTTGAAGTGCGAAAATAAATACGCACTCTCCTACACACACACACACAGACACACAAGTATGCTTGCATGTAGGTATTTGTGGAAGAGCAAAAATGTCAAAAGTATAACATCTTATCAAGTACGGAGACAATCGAGAAATTGATATACACTCAATATAATAGACACATGGCGAAGTGTGTGCAAATATAAAGTGTTATACTACATAGGTGTATACAAAGTACTCGATAGATATGAACATATGCACGTAGTATAAGCATATACATACATGTTATACTTTAGAGAGCCTCTACGCAGCAGAGTGTCATATAGATAGCTATATTAACTGTTATAGAACATACATATATGTTATATATGTGCATAGTATATATCTACATATACTTAGTCTGATACCATACATGAATCTTCACACAGATGGAGCTAGTGCGTCCAGACATATGTAAACTGTTATACTGAATAGAAGTTACGCGTACATTCCATGGTATCTTTATTGACAAAAAAAATGCAAACATATTCTCTATATATACGAAATACATACATATATATATGATGTTACGATTGCCATAATTAAAAATATGGATAGGAAGAGGAAGAGACAGGTAAAATACTTCTTTTGGCAATCATATAAACAAGCAATCTAATTAATTGTGCTAGCTAAGCAAATGATTTCTTTATGGCATGCGCCCATTGGGAGGCGTGGCAAGTTGAAAAAAAAAAACTAGAAAAGCAAAGTTAAGGAAATACGTGACTGCTGCTAAATTTATAAATTTATATATGCCTCTTGGGGGCATGGCAAATGTGAAAAAGAAAACTATATTTATGTACACCCCTTGGGGCTTGGCTTATCGGAGGACACATGTGATAAAAAATACGACTGACTTCGAGCGCCTATTATGCAGTCGCTTACGCCCGTCTGAAACATTCTGGCTCAGCCCAATATCTGCTGCCCAATAGATGGCGCCACAGGCAAGCAGAGAAGGCAGCAGCATTCCCGTACGGATGACTCGAGCAGTGTCCAGCATGGACAAAGTCAAGCGGCTTATCACGCAGCTGCACCCAATTAATTGGATCGACTCAATCAGAAATTAAATGGGGACTTTGCCGTAAAATAATAGTTTAAAAATTTGATTAGATATCAAATGAAGCAATATTTTTCAAGCTTACGAAATATATTCTTTTAAATTTATAATAAATAATAAGCGGAGCTTTATAGCATGGCTAACATAATCGACTGATACATCTGAAGCTTAAGCAATGAGTACAAAGTCCTCAAATAAAATATGTAAGGATTTTTAAAGTCGTATTAAACCTCGAAACTTTGGCGTGTTTCATAAAATACGAATAAATAAGTTTTATATTTATACATACATATGTATATATAAAACCATTCATACAACTCGTTTCCTCAATGATCAAGGTGTTTTAAAAAATAAAATGCAAAATGAAAAAGATTACTTAATATTTATTCCGAAATATTTAACTAAAGAAAAATATGTAAAAATAAATGTAAAAATACTTTTCAGATTTATTAACAAATATCAAATTTATATATATAGTTTTTTTGCATATAATTCGCAGCAACAATAGTTTAAAAAAACGTAATTTAATACTTAACAACATTGTCGTCTTTCCTATGAGAATCTTATAAGACATTCATCGATATGAATGTTTATGAAATCATATTTTTTTAAAACAGCTCATTTATATAATTATATATTTATACTTTTTTTAATTGGAAATACCTCAAGCATTCATAGCATTACAACTCAAACAATAAATTTAAAAAAAAAAAGATTTCTTATGGAAGTTTCAAGCAAATTCTTTTTCGAACAGTCTGGCAGCGCTGATACAAGAACAAGTCAATCAGAACTGAGGCCGACAAGTGGAACTGAAACGTAAAACTATCGTTGCCAGTTGCTAAAACTGGTGGAACGAGTGGTTCGCAACGAACAATATCGTTGCATCGGTATTAATTCTAGGAAGATGAAACGAATTTTAAAAAATTAAACAGATCAAACTTACCACCACCCGAGAGCCACCTACATACACAGTTGCCACGCTGCTGTTGCAAGCCGGTGCAATTTTGCAAGTACGTGGCCCACCGAACAACAGTTGCGAGCGTGTAATATGGATTATCAGTACTACGACTATTCAGATGAGGAGGTTGGCAGCAATGGCAACGCATACATTGATCTCGACGCAGAGCGTCTGGAGAGCCACGACTACGTCGATGACAGTTACGCCAGTGTAACGTACCGCCTGCTGGACAGCTATCAGCACTGCATTCTGCCCTCGCTCACCCAAGTCTCTGGCTACATTGTGCCGCTGCTGCTGGGCTGTTTGGTGTGCCGGCTGCTTAGCGCTCTGTATGCGCGGCGTGCACGCCTGGTGGCCGTGGGCAGCTGCAGCTGCAGATGGCAGGAGGCGAACAGCATGAAGCTGGGACCGCTGCACGCCATCAATGCGCTGTGCGGCGCCGGCATACTCTATGCAACGCTGGGCCAACGGATGATGATCCTGACGCTGCTCAGCGGCATTAGCTATTTGCTGCTGCAACTGATGCGCCTGGGCAAGGGACGAGGTGGCGCCGTGGCCATAGCGGTGCTCAGCATTGGCAGCCAGTTCATCTATGAGCTGGCCATTTGGCAGAAGCGCGACGATTGGCCGCAGCTGCGCGGCCTGCAGATGGTGACGAACATGAAGGTCATATCGCTGGCCTTCGACTTGGCGGCGACAGGCGCCGCGGGATTGCACATGCCAAACATTGTCGCCTACCTGGGCTACATTCTAAATCCGGCCACCTGTGCGCTGGGGCCCTGGCTAAGCTACTCCCGCTACTTGGATGCGCTGCACACCAAGCCGTCGCTGCGCCGCAATCTATGCCAAATGCTGCTCAATGTCCTACTCAGCCTGGTGGCGTTGGTCATCAGCAATTGCATTGCGCCCACGCTTAGCGAGCTGAATGCGCCGGCAAACGAGCAGACGACGCAGGCCGGCCGCTGGACGCACTGGCTGCTCATGTACACCGGCGCCATGAGCGTGCGCAGCAGCCACTATTTTGTTAGCTTCCTCAGCCAGGCGCAGCTGGCAGCCGCCGGGCAGCAGCTGGACGCCACAGCGCTGCCGCACAGCGGTCGCTCCAAGGAGCTGCTCGGCGAACTGGTCGTGCGTCCCTGGCGCATCGAGTGGCCGCATTCGTTGAGTGCCCTGGTCCGCTGCTGGAACATGCCCATGCACGAGTGGCTCAAGCGCTACGTCTACTCGACGTCCAAGCAGGAGCAGGCGCACTCCCGCCACAGCACAATGGTGGCCGTGTTCTGTACGTATTTGGTATCGTCGCTGCTGCACGGCATGGACTTTCGCATCTATTTGGTGCTGCTGTCGCTGGCCACGTTCGCCGAGGGCGAGACAATGCTGCGTCGTCACTTGGCCAGGCTCTTCAATGCCTGCGTCGCGGTCAATCCCTGCCCGGGCGCCGAGCGCTGTCGCTATGCCAATTGCCCGCGGCGACTGGGCTGGCTCAGCTGGAGGTCGTTGCTGGTGAAGCTGATCAATCTGTGCTTCACGCTGCTCGCCATATCCCACCTGGCCTACCTGGGCATTGTGCTGCTCAACGAAACACTCGTCGCGGAATCGGAGCACGAGCTGCCCTTCATGCACCACTGGTCAGCGGCTGGCTACCTCAGTCACTACGTTGGCATCGGCATGTTTCTGCTCTACATGTTCATATCCTAAAACTGGGAGCACTTACACTTAAGACTGCCTGCGAGAGACTGTGCCTCGCTCCCGACGCTCTTTTCCATTTGTGCAATTGCAGCGGCTTCATGTGATTACTCCAATGGCATATGATATACTTACATACTTACATACATACTTACATACTTACATACTTACGTGCATACGTACGCACAACCATGCCTGCACATGTATTTATATGGAGGCAGCACCTCCACCAGCCAGCTCCAGCTCCCGGACTGTGCCAGGGTCTGGAGCTGCCGAATAACCGAACTGATTTTGACAACTGTGAATCTCTTTTAAACTATTTGTATTTTTACCAGATATTTACACACATATGCAAATATATGTACCCTCTGTATGCCTGTCCACCTGTACTTTAATAAATGTTTTTAATATGTAATTATGCGAAAACGTTTGCTCATTCAATTGGGATTGATTGTACCAAAATGTACCTACAATTCTTCAGCGATATGTACCATTCATAGCTGTCATTTTTACAATGATAAGGTAACTATTTTGGTACATTTAAAAATAGATGTTGGGGTTTACTCTTAAATGAGTTAGGTACATTTATTATTAATTTTATTACCAGGCAATTATGTCATGTACCTTCTGTTTGGTGTTGCAGAATTACCATAACACGTCCTTGGTTATGCCGCAAATGTAAGAATTTAGGTACACAACTACCACATCATTTTCTTGGTACATTTTCCCTATGTACCTTTAACTCTATTGTAATATTTGCCATGCTATATATAGGTACAATAGTATATAGGCTATTTAGGTACGCTTTTGCATAAAATATTTACAGCTACTGTCAATACGTGTTGCTCTAAATGTGCCAGAAATAAATGGTACATTTCTTATGTGCGAACTAGCACTAAATGTTGTCTGTACCGAGAATATACCAGAGGTAACTATGTACCAGAGGTAATTGTGTACCAGAGGTACCAATGTACCAGAGGTACCTATGTACCAGAGGTACCTATGTACCAGAGGTACCTATGTACCAGAGGTACCTATGTACCAGAGGTACCTATGTACCAGAGGTACCTATGTACCAGAGGTACCTATGTACCAGAGGTACCTATGTACCAGAGGTACCTATGTACCAGAGGTACCTATGTACCAGAGGTACCTATGTACCAGAGGTACCTATGTACCAGAGGTACCTATGTACCAGAGGTACCTATGTACCAGAGGTACCTATGTACCAGAGGTACCTATGTACCAGAGGTACCTATGTACCAGAGGTACCTATGTACCAGAGGTACCTATGTACCAGAGGTACCTATGTACCAGAGGTACCTATGTACCAGAGGTACCTATGTACCAGAGGTACCTATGTACCAGAGGTACCTATGTACCAGAGGTACCTATGTACCAGAGGTACCTATGTACCAGAGGTAATTATGTACCAGAGGTACCAATGTACCAGAGGTACCAATGTACCACAGATAATTATGTACCAGAGGTGCCTATGTACTTTTCTTCCAAATAGGCACTTCTATAAAATACAAAAAAAATACTTAAGCTCGTATCGCTAAAATTGATTTCAATTTAATAAGTGAAAAAAGTCAATTAAAATTTTATTTTTTTATTGATTTTTAATGATGGTTTTCTTTTTTTGTTTGTTTTTCTTTTTGTTTTTGTTTGTTTTTTTTTTTTTTTGTTTCGTTTTTGTTTTGTTTTGTTTTTCTCATTGAGACAAATATTTATAACAATATTGTAACTTCTACTTTGTTGTTTTTTGTTTGTTTTTATTTATTTGCATTTGTTTTCGGTTGTCAGTTTTTGTTTTGTTTTGTTTTGTTGCTTATGTTTTAAATATTAAAATTACTACCTTAAAAATTATGCAATGACAATAAAAATATTTGTTATGCAACTTCGATCCGGGCTGCTAGATCGATCGCCTTTATGAACTGCTTAAAAGTTGCGCCGTTTTCTCCGCTCTTTGTTTTTCTTTTATTTATATTTGTTAAATAATTTTTCGCTTTCGCTTTTGTTTTTGTTTTTGTTCTGTTTCGTATTCAGAAAGTTTGTTGCTCATTTGATTTTGACATCAAAAATAGATAGATATATACATATATGTATATATATATGATTTACGTGTGTGTGTATATCGACTCGTGTATATATATTGTATATACATATATATATATCTATACTATATAAAGTATTTATATATATATATTTTGTTTTCATTTTTACTGTGTTTGACATTGTTTCCGATTTCATTCTTCTTCTTCATCCTCTGATGCACCTCGACCTATTGTTCCTAGATGCATATATATATAAAAAAAAGTCGCATGAGGATTTCACGCTCTGCCCGCATTTCATAAACTTGTTGAATATTTTCTTTGTATGCCTTTTGCTTCCGTTTTAAATCATTTTTCATTCATAACAACAACTGAGTTGATCACAAGAGATAACGAGAGTTTTATGTTTTGTTTTGTTTTGTTTACATTTTCATAGTTGCTTCTGTTGCATTTACAAAATATGTTGAAGCTTTCGTTGATTTTCTTTTTCTGAGTTTGTGATTATTTCTCTCTCTTTAATTTACTTTGACTTTGTTTGTTTTTGTTTTCGTTTGTTTTGCTGCCTTTGCTCACAAAAAAAAAGAAACGATTGAAAAAAATAGAATTTTTTTTGTTTATAGAACAATTAATTATTTCATTTTTCCACTTAATTTCTTTTCTTTTCTTGTTTTCTTTAACATAAAATCAGTTAAAATACAAATAGTGTACAAATATTCGCTAACTACATAGTTTTGTTAATATGTATAAATATATAAATTATATATATATATATATATATATATATATATATATATATGTGTATATATATAAGGATTTATACATAAAATTGTTTTTGTCGCGTGCGCACAGAGAAAAAAAACATTTGTGTAGCCTATGCTAAGGGGGAGGGGGCTGTGGGTTGGGGGTTGACAATTTGTGTTTATTAAATTTAAAGAAACGGCCATATCTAAAATTATGTAACAAAACTTAATAAAGTTGCATACATACATACATATATATACATATATATATATATATATGCGTTTCCTTCTTTTACAAATTACAAATTACAAATGTTAAAACTTAATTAATTATGCTTTGTTTTAGTTTTTGTTTCTGTTTCTGCTTTTGTTACAATTTGGAGGCTGGTGAAAGAATTTCGCTAGTTGCTTTGTTGTTTTACAAAAATTTAGCTAAACACATTTAAATTAGGGTTTTGTTTATATTTTACGCTTTACGCACAATGCACTAAATTCAAGATTTCTCCTTAATGTATAACAAAGTAGTGTATATAGATGTATATATATATATATATAAAACAAAAAAAAAATAGAGAATTTTAAAATACAAATAATAGCAGTAAAAATTACTGTGTAGCATAATTTAATTAGGAAATACAACTAAAGCATAAACATAAGCTTTAAAATAATATTACACATTTAAATTATAAACATAATTACATTGTGTGTGGGTGTCTGTGTGTGTGTGTGTGTGGGTTGAGTGTTTGCTTGCTGTTTGCCGCTTGTTGTGTCGCAAATGTTGCTCACAACATTTCGTCAACAAGTGCGCGCAGCGCACATGACCAGCACTCGATGTGTGTGCGTGTGTGTGTGTCTGTATGTGTATCTGTGTATGGCAACAACAACATCAACATCAACAATAACAACAACAACAACAACGACAACACGATCATTGCATATAAGTTATACTACATAATTGTTTGTTTCTTTTGTATGTAAATCATGATATGCGGCCGGTTGCAGTCGTCATCGTCCATGTCTGTGTCCCAGTTCGTGTCCTTGTTCTCCTTCTCCTGCCAACCAGCATATTCGTCCTTGTCGATGTTGTTGCCAGGGCTTTGTAGACATATAACTACAGCAGCTGCTATTAATGCTACTGCTGCTGTTGCTGCTGCTGCTGCTGCTACTGTTGCTGTTGCCGCTGCTGCTGCCGTCGCTGCCGCCGCTGCTACTGTTGCTATTGCTGTCAGCCGCTGCTGCTGCTGCTTATGCCAGCATCGGCTCCACGTTCAATCGTTCTTGGTCTGACAGTAAAGCTCTTTCAGCGACTTGAGCTCCTCGATGAGCGCTTTGTTTTGGTTCTCTAGCACCGCCACACGATTCTCCAGGCACTTAATATACTCCTTCTTTTTGCGCCGGCATTCGCGCGCCGCCTCCCGATTCTTTTGCAGTCGAATCTCTCGCTTGCGTGTCTGATCCTCCGGAATGCCACTGTTATCTAAGAGGGAGACACAGAGAGAAAGAGAGAGAGAGAGAAAGTGGGAGAGAGAGTGGGGAAGAGAGAAGAACGAGAAGAAGAGTATAAGTATTGCTTTTGCTCAGTTTATTGCGACTAGGTGGCATTTACTGGTATTGTATGGTATCCGATTGGATAAAAAGAAGTTCGACTCCGATGCCATGTGCAGCAGTGGACTGCTCGCTGTGTTGCCGCCGCCGCCGCCCCCCGCCCCGCTACCCAGCTGAGAGCTGAGAACGTTGCCATCGGACATTTGCAGTGCTCCACTCGCTGCATCATCAAGTGGTTTGTGATATACGATATTCGATATACGATATTCGTTTTACGATATTCGATATACGATATTCGTTTTACGATATTCGATATACGATATACGATATTCGATTTACGATATTCAATTTTTGAATTTTTTATTTTGGGATATGGTTTGGGGGGGGGTTGTTGGTTGTTTGTTGTTGTTGTTGTCATTGGGTTTTCGATGCGATCGTATTGATAATTATATTTTTTGTTTTAAATATAATTTTTTATGTGGCATTTTCGCGAGCAGTAAAAAAGAAAACAAACAAAAAAAAACAATAAAAATTATAAGAAATCACATTTTTTGTTTTGTTTTTTTTTTCGAATTTCGAATTTGTTGTTGTTTATTGTGAGTGTCGGTGTTCGGTGTCGGTGTCGGTGTCGGTGTTTGTGTTTGTGGTGGGTGCGAGTGAGCGAGCGGGCGAACGATCGAACGAGCGAGAGGCGATATATTTGTTAGTTTGAACAACAGCAACGGCGACGGCAACGGGCGACGTTTGTTATATAAGTACATATGTATCATGTAGATGAGCGATGAGGATGTTTGTTGTGCGTTTAACCTAAACTGAATGCGCGCGTGTGTGTGTGTGTGTGTGGCAGCAGCAGCAGCAAAAAACAACGGCAACAGCAGCAACAACAACAACAACAACAGCAGCAGCAGCAACAGCAACAACAAAGGCAACAGAGTCGCGTGTCAAAATCAACAAACGAAAAAGTATGCAAAATATGTGTGCTTATGTGTGTCTGTGTGTGTGTGTGTGTGTGTGCGAGTATTAAGTAATAGTATTTACAGTTATAACATGATAAAAGACACTAAGACGAATGATGCGCGTTATCCTAATCAGTTTTATATACAATTCAAATGTTGTTCATGTGCTTAAAGCAACAGCTGCAACAACAACAGCAACAGCAACAACAACAACCACAACAACAGCTAATGACGAGTGTGCATGGGAAAGAGCGAGATGGTTAGAGAGGAAAAGAAATGGATAGTTGTGAAGCAACAGCCGTGATGAAGTTGATGATGTCTATAAACAATAACAACAAAGGCACAACTAAGTTGCATATATCATTAGAAACATGTGTGTTTGTGGCAATGAACAATGAAATGAACATGAAATTGATATAACAGAGCCCTCATAATACATTGAACTGGCACATTATGGAATATATATACAAAAAGTTGCTATAAGTCTATTAACTCTTCTATGACATTGGCACAAGTGGCTAAGGCTTAGGCTATGGCTGTCTAATGACATTATTTATACAGTTACAGCGTTCTCTGAACAACATTCTTTACGATATACATAGTTCGGATGTTTCTCATTTATAGACATGGCACTGAATTATTTGTAATTGTAATTTGAAACGTATAAAATGAAAGCTTCTTTATGCAAATACAAATTGAGTATGGGTTTTATGATACATATATATATATATATATATATATATAATAGAATGTTTACTGTATGCTGATGCGCTGATGTTGTTTGTGCTTCTGTGTGAGCTCTGAGCGCCATTGGAAGAGTATTTCGCATAAAATCAACAAATTGAAATAGAGACAAAGTTAGGATAAGAAGCTTAGGCATGGAGCTGAGGTGCACTGGACACATGATTACAGCAAGAGAGCGAACAGAGCAGGAGTATAGTTTAGAGAGAGACAGAGGCATTAAGAGACAAAGTCTGTGGCTCACAATTGTTGCTGAAGAAACACAAAAAAAAAAAAGGAAGGAGAAGAACGAGGAATTACCGCTCATGTCGGGTCCACTGATTTCGGTGAAAATCTTATTGTACGACGGCCTTCGTGTCAGATTGCTGCGGTGATGCTGCGAATCATCGTCTGATAAGCTCTCATCGCTGTCCTCCGGATGCTGGGTATTCGGTTCGGGTTTGATCTTACATTGAAAATTTGGAGGGATCTGAAAGGAATGCGAAATCGATTAGCATATCGAGCATATATAACGCCGCTACATATACTTATGTATGACTGTGTGTGTGAGAGTGTGTGTGTGTGTGTGTGTGTGTGTGTGTGAGTGTGTGTTAATGTCTGTTTGTTAGCATCTGCTACGCACTTTGTTACGCACTTGCACTGCATTGCTCGTGGTCGTATGAATGACCGTCGTGTTAGCCGGCTTGGTCATATAGACGACGCCGGTGGCGCCGCCCTTATGCATCGCTGATGCGGCGGCCAGCGCCTGCTGTTGTTGCTGCTGCTGCTGCTGTTGCTGCTGCTGCTGTTGCTGTTGTGTGCCGGCAGCGGTTTGTATGACACCCGAATGATTGGCCGCCTGTATCACGGATTGTACCTGTGCGAATAGAGAACGCAATTAGCCATTATCGAGCTGAAGTCACATTAGACTAGGTAAGATGGGGCCACATTTCGCATTTCCTCAAATAAACTTTCATTTAACTCACTCATGAGTTAATTGTTTTCGTGTTTAAATAAATGATTAGTATCGATATTGTCAGCTGGCCAAGTTCGAGCCAAGTTCAAATAGATTCCCATATCAAATTTTCAATAGAGAGAGAGAGAGAGAGAGAAAAACCTTTACGAATGCGCCACAAAGCAAATGAAAACAGTTAAATACGAGTTTGTGAGTCATAAAGCTTCAAGAGTAAAAACCCATGTCAAGCTTCTTGCGCGTTCCAAGCGTTGTTCTCTTTTTACTTCATCTAATTATCATTAGTTAATTAATAACTTTTGTGGAAACATAGAATAAATTCTAAATATAACCGAAGGGGCGTGATTAGCCGAACCCATTAGTCCGCACGAGCTGTTTACTATTTGGAATAGCCCTACTTTCCACACTTCATATGCATTTTACGCGTCCCATGCGTCCAGCTATGTTTGCTGCCACATTAATACATTAGCTCTACATTTCTGGATGTATTAGTTCCACATTGGAATAACAAGATTTTCTTAGACTTTCCATGCGTTTCAAGCGTCTTGCTTTGAGTACCTACCCCTATACTTGCTCTACATTTCTGGATTTCTGGAAATAGCAAAAAAATGTTAGACTTTCCATGCGTTTCAAGCGTCTTACGCGTCTTGCTATGCAAGCATGCTATCTTATTAACACATTAGCTCTACATATCTAGCTACATTAGTGCTACATTGGAATAGCATAAGTTTGATAGACTTCTTATGCGTTTCAAGCGCCGTATTATGCGTAACTGCTTCCATATGCATGCATTCGTTGTTCAGTACTTCTACATTTTAGACTTTTTAAGCGTCAGAGCTATGTCACTGCATGACACTTAATGGACATCTTAAAGTCTCTCTGGTCAATCTCTTACACCTATCAAGTATAGATCGAAGAAGTTCTAGCACATAAACATCATCAATAATCGACCTCAAATACATGTTATATATATATATAACATATACATATATATATATATATATATATATATATATATATATATAAATATATATATATATATATATATATATATATATATATATATATATATATGTTAAATTCCTTTGGAGAATTGCGCATTGGGCCCATGGTGCGACGTGACTTACCTGCAGGCCGTGCTGCGTTAGCGCCTGGATTGGGTATTGTATATTGCAGTTGGCGGTCGTTGTCAGCACGGATGCCGCGCCGCTGGCATTGTTTGTGTTGGCCGTCGCTGGAACGCCGCTCGTTGTACTTTGCTGGTTCTGTTGTGTTTGCTGTTGCTGCTGCTGCTGCTGCTGTTGGCCGCCTGTTGCTGCCGCTGCTGCTGCGACAGCGGCGGCGGCCGCTGCTGATGTGACATCAACGTCGTTGACATTACCGCTGGAGGCCGAGTTGCCGTTCTCCTCGACGATGCTGTCCATTTTAGCGATTTTCAGCAGCACCGTTACGCTCTCCGACAAGTGCTTCAGTTTGGCGTCTTTTCCGTTTCAATTTTGCCAGTTTGAAGTTGATGGATGCTGGACGACGACTGCACAATCCAAACGGGGAAGGATGAATCGGCGGGCGGGCGGACGGTCGGTCGGTCGGTTGGTTGCCAAAGCAATGAAAGAGATGGGCCGCGCGCACACACACACATTGAGTGAGAATAGAGACAGGAACAGAAAAAAAAAAGATAGAAAGAGAGAGAGAGAGAGACGGAGAAAGAGAGGGAGAAAGAGAGATGTGCACAAAATTGGTTTCATTGGTTTTTGGTTACAATATTGCTTGATTGGTAATTGCTAATTGTTAATTGTTCGTTCTAACAACAACAACAATTATAATAATAACAACAACATCAAAAACAGACTAACACACACTCACACACACACACACCAACACACACGTTGACTGTCACTGTCACTGCTGCTGCTGCTGCTGCCTCTACAACTGTTGTTTGGTTTGTTTTGTTTGCTTGCTACAAAAATGACGACGACAACGACGACGACGACGATGACAACGACAAAACAACAACTGCGGCAACAACAATAACAGCAACGGCCATACTGTCTCAACTGTTGTGTGTATTTTTATGAAATGACGTCATGACGACGTTGTGTTATAGGCAAACAAAACAAAAAAAACGCAAACTTACTTTCTGATGACATCACTAAAACGTTGCTGCTCCTCTTGTTGTTGTTGCCGTTGCTGTTTCTGTTTCACTTCGCTCTGCGCGCGCTGGTGTTTGTGAATGTATATACATATATGTCTATATATATTTATATATATACGTATATATGCATATAGCTGTGCCTGTGTGTGTGCGTATGTGTGTGGTGTGTGCTTGTGTCGCGTTGCGCGCTGTGCTGGCAACTTGTTGAAAAATTCAACTGTACGCACGCCACACTCAAGAGCAGAACAGAGAGCTAGCTCCGTTTGTTTTACGCTACTACGTAGCTGATTGCTGCTGATGCATAGCTTGGGGCCGCGGATTTTTGGTCCTAAATTCTTCGCACAGGCAAATGATTTGTTATTGGATTTGATTGGTCGGACGGTGACGGCGACGGCAGGCGGGTGGTCAATGGCAAAACACTTTTCACACAGTTGGCAGCACGCGCGCACTGCACACAAAATTTTTCTGCTGTTATCGTTGCTTACGTTCTTTTTTCAGAGCAGCGCTGTGCGATTTGTTTGTCAGCTGCCTTGGCCAATGGCAGGATGCAAGGACACAAATTGTTTATTGCTAGTTTAGCACGCGCGTTTTAGGTCACATTCAACTTTAAATACAATTTATTGATCAGGTTCTTGGCCCTTTTTGCGCAAAATATTATTTTGTATTGCTCACTCGCTCGCTCGCGCTGCTTCACTGCCTCAGTACTGGCGCAAACACACACAAACTCATCTACACACACACAGAGAAACAAGCACACACACACATTCACATATAGAAAACACGCACTCTCAAGCACACATATGCATGCGCACGCAGCAACGGCAACCCCGTTTCACAGTCAAGCGTTGCCAGATAGTTGTCTTATAAAAAGAGCCACAATATTTTTACAATACGTTTTAACAACACAAGCCAAATCAGAAAAATAATAAATATAATAATATTAGTGTATTATTTACGTATTGTTTGTCCGAGATTTTTAAAAATTAAACACCCTGCCTACTATATAAAAAAGCGCGCGACAAATTCATACACAGCTGGCAGCATAGCAAACAGCTGTTGGGTTGTGCGACACTGCTGACACCAGGGTTGCTACTCTACCCAGTTCTGGCGGTCGATTAATTAATTTGAAATAACGATTATTCATAAATTTCATAAGTGCTTAGCTGCTTACCAGCTGCTGGTAAATTGGTAATTAATTTAAGTACTAAAGTAAATTAATAGAAAGTTGTTTTTGGTATTTGCAAGCTACTGACTGTTTTAAAGCTGTAAAAACCGTTTGACTTGTCAATACATATTTATGCATACACAAAATAACCATAATTAAAATGAATTAACGAGAAAAAAAACGTTTTTTACAACAATTGCAAGTTTTTAGAATTACAATAGGCAACAATAATCTATTTACAGATGTCGTCTAATTGCACCATTGCACGTTTTGCTTTCATACATTCCACTGTGACTCTCATTTCTGACACCCGCTTCGCTCACACAGCCCCACAAAACGCCGTGCTGTCTGTGCGAGTCACACTCCAAAAGAGTGTGTGAAACAGAGAGAGAGGGGAGTAACTGACCGACTAACTGACTCAGTGCATGCCATTTTACCGTTGCTGTTGTTGTTTTGGTCAACAACAGAAAACGAAGTTGGCGCCGTTCGGTCAGAAAATTTAAAGCCCTCAGTCCACATGCATATGTATACATACATTCGTATGTGTGGATATACATAGTTGTATGTATTCGCATAATAATTATTAATGAAATTTAAGTAACAACTTTTAGCTTAACATTTGAAGGCTCTCGGCCAATGTGTAACAATATTGAAGCATTTAATTGACGTCTTGATGAATCAAAGCAATAAAATATCAATTAAATTGCTAACTATTATTTATATTATTATGTAGAAACTAATGATTGTAACGATCTGATTTGACACGTTATTAATATGTGATCATTTCACAAACTATTTCGTTTTAATACTTTTACTATGAACTTAAGAGAGTTTTAATATATAATAATTCTTTTGGGTGAAATGCTGAAATGTTCTAAATGGTTCTAAAGAAAGAAGAATATTTTGTTTTTCTAAGTGGCTGAAAGACTTTTTGATTTATTATTCTAAAGACAATAAAATAAGAAAATTTTCTCGATCAGCCATTTAATTGATTTTATAATGTGGATAAACCATCTAGCTAGGTTTGCACCAAAGGAAATAAAAAAAGTCTCGTTTTAGCACTAGGACAAGACGAGAAGAGAGAGTAGACGATTCATATGCAAAATCGTCTCCCCTCTCTTCGCGAATCGCAAACATTTATGCATGGGTGTATAAATATGTGCATATACGAACGTGCATAAGTACGTATGTATGTATGTACATATGTGTGAAAGGAAGCCAATTCACTTTTTTTTTGTGACGGCAGCTTTCCGCTAGCTACAGGTTAGTTCACGACTAGACAAACTCGTGCTTTTTATATATCGCAGCTGATTAAAATGTTTTGTTCCTATTAAATGTTGTGTATTCGTTGCACTGCGCGAGCTGCGAACCGACTGCATATAGAAATATATAAAATATAAAGCACAGTGACACTGCACTTAAAATGCTAGCTCGAATTGAATTGATGTTGATGCGCGTGAAAGACAGCGGGAGAGAGAGCGAGGAGGCACTGATTCAGTTCAAAATGATTGTTCACAGCGCTCGAGGTGGGTGCGTGAGAGGCACGCAAACCCAGGAGTTAAATAAATACAAATGTAGCTTTCTAGCTAACTATCGATTCAATCGTTTTAAAAAAAAAACTAATATTTATTTAGCTGAACTGATGGCCAAGACAATAGTGAGTCATGTTCATGAAGGATTTAATTACTGAACAAATTAAACTACAGTCCCAAGTTCGATTCGTAGACGCCAGCTTGTGCATCACTAGGTAATCAATAGGTAATATTATCAGGAAGCGAATCTGTGCGCGTCAAATTTTCCTTTTTAGTTTTTCACTATTTGTATTGTCGAGAACGATAGTCACGCTAACATCACTAGATGCTTCAAGCTGCCTGCCTAGGCAAGTGAAGCTGCGTTTGTTGCTGCCGCAACCACCCACAGCTCCGTTCTATTATTTATTTATTTTTTTAAGTTGAGTTGCGTTGTGCTTGTCATCGCTGCGTAAGCGCAACTTAAAAATACTTGCGGTGACCATTCAAAGAGGTAATTGACACCGAAATGCTCAACAGTGAGACATAGCGAGAGAAAGAGGGAGAGAGCGAGTGACACAGGCCTGGAAGGTGGGTAGGCAGAATGACGAAAGCAAAGAAAGGCGCAAAAGTTGCAAAGCTGAAAAAGCATATATAAAAATCTGGCAACGTCATCAACGTCATTGACATCATCGTGGCTTATTGGTTACCCGAGTTCAAAACCGAAACACTCGCCACATCAAATTATGCCATTTAATTTGTTTTTATTCCTACATATGTGCACAGTACATGTACATACATAAGTATACGTACTGACTTGCTCTTGTTGTTGCTTCTGTTTTCATTTGACATTAACAGCAATCGTAGCAGCAAGTCACAGTGAAGACAGCCAACGGGAATGGCAATATTTGCCTGCTGCATTTTAATCAATTCCAATCAGTCGTATTTCGCTTTTGGGCTTTGGCTTTGCCAGCGACGGCGACTGCGTCTACCGTTTTCTCGTTCTTAATGTTTCGCGACTGCTCATACGCAAAATGTGACGTCAGCATGACTTATTTATAGCCCGCCTCATTCATTGCATTTTGCTGCGAATGCTGCTGTATTTGTCTGTATTAATTAAAGCTAAATGAGTGCACAGTAGCAGCAGCAACAATCGCAACAATCGCAGCATAAACGAAAACAGTTAGTACTTGCCATGCGAACTCGAAGCAGAATGGCAATGGGAAAGGGAGTGGGAAATGGGGAGGGAGAGGAAACGGCAGAGGAAGCGGCAACTGGAATGTGTGTGCGTGCCACTGCGAGTGCGTGGGAGACAGAAGCGGTAGGTGCCGCTGTCAAACAAACCAATTGTTTGGGGGAATAAACTTTTGCCGTTAGAATCTGTTGCACATGGCCAACAAATGCCTGTCAACATTGTTGCTAGCCTTACCTACCACCCAACAATACCCACTCGACAGCTTTCATGCGGATTATCAGCTAGCAGTAATTTGATAATACAACCGTTTGGCGTCTACACAACACACTCCAATATCTATACATACGTACATACAGATGTTTCTATATATATATATATATATATATATATATATATATATATGTAGTTATATACCATGGCTGCAAGCCGATTTGCCAAGAGCAATTTCAGATAGAAATTTGATTGACATTTTAGCATGAACTGACCCCTAAATCAAATGGTAGCAAATTAATTAATTTTCCTTTCACTTTAATTTTGAAAATTAAAAAAATAATTTAAATTTGCAAATATTGAATAAGGCTTTTTGCATCTAAGCTAGGTGAACTAACTCCTAATTGAGCTAGCTTAGACTGTGAACTGAACCAACAAGCATTTTATCTGTCGTCTGCAGCCCTGGTATGCATATGTAAATATGTATATACGTATGTATGTGTGTGTGTGTGCATATATGCGAATGAATATTTGTTATCATTTCTGTATTGTGGGAGGGGGCCCCCCGTTTTCGTTATCAGTGTTGCTGTATTTCGTAGAACGAGAAAAATCAGCTCAACTTCGCAGCTTAATTGGAGCTGGGACTAAGGGAATAAGGGCAACATTTGGAGGTCTCAGTTTTTCAAGTATTGACATATTTATTGTCATAATGCAAGTAAATGCTTAATTGTACGATATGATCTTCATTTCCTTCTCTGACTGACTGACTGACGAACTCGCTGTGATTTGACTACTACTCACACGGTATTTTCTATTGATGACGTCATGAAAGATCTTAAAAACAAGCGAAGAGCTAGGCAAAAAAAAATACATAAAATAACTGTTGTATGGATTTTAGAGCTAAGTGTAAACATACATATGTATTTTCGAATAGTATCTGATGATATTTCAACTGTGCTCGTTTGATAGATGATTTCAAATATTATCTGATTGTAACTGCAAATTCTATTTGTATAACGGTCAGAAACAAGATATGAATATAGATTAATGGAACTGTAAATTTATATACCTATATAGTTATATGATGTTGATAAGTTTCGCTGAACTCAAGAGAATCTTAATATATATGTATATTTATTTCCTATTTAATTTATCATGAAGTTAAATATTTGATCTATCGATAAGGTGACAATTTTGCACGCATTTATAGTAATGCCTTGATTGGGCTCCAGCACGAGCCATGACTAATGTCTGGCGCGGGCCATAAATTGAGTGCTATTAAAACACCTCACTTATCGGGAATATTAAAGTCAATTATCTGAATTTAAAACGGGCGTATTTTAGGGAACACCTTGATAGAATATATCACTCTGGATTTAAGTGACACTATGACATAATTGTGCTATATCTATATCTGCACTATATCACATTACATCATATTCTGCTACCTATATATAATATGTCTATATAGATATATGTAACCTATTTGTACTTCCTTGACATAGAATTTCGATATGAATTTCATATGCGGAATTGTCAGGAAAATGAGTCAGTTTTGTTTACTATTTCAGGAGTAGTCTTTAAAATATTGATCAAATAACCACAAATATCATAACAAAAAAACGGGCTTCTTCTATTACAATATAATAAAAACCTTACACAACGTGGAATGACAGGGAGAGAGAGAGAG